GCCAATATTTACCCGACGATAGCCTGGTCTGGCTATTCTTTTTCTTACTCTTTCTAGTTCTTCCTGTGGAGGGAAAGTAAATCTTTTTGTCATATTAATAAGTTTTATTAAGTTTTAATAATTCACGGGACTTAGCAGCTAGGTCATTATTAAGAGCGGTTTGCTGTTGGCTGGCGATGGGTATGATGGTAGTGGTTCTTTGGCAGGAGCAAAATGGCAATAAACTTTAACTATTTTTTTTATGTTTTTCGATTAAACCTTCTAACTCTTTAATTCTTTTTCTAAAAAACTTTTAATCTCAGATTACTAAGTTAATTAGTAATTGAATATAACCTGGACCGGTAAAGTCAATAAAACTGTAAAATATTAAGTATATATAACTACAACTATGAATGTTATGAAAGACAATCAAGTCCCAGCCCTAGAAATAGCAGAATTTTTTCTTTCTTTAGACCCTAAGAGAGAATATTTTGTCAAAGATAAAATGATAAAAGTGGAGGGGAATTCGGTGCCAACTGTTGGCAACCTTCGTCTTAATAAACTATTACAAATTACTCAAATGCTTTATGCGGCCAAAGAAGGAAAATATTTATTTCCGGAAAAGTTTTTGGCTTTTGAGCATGGCGGAATAATCTATGATATTTACCATCAGTTCCATTTTCTCGTTATTCCTCACAAATCTACCTCAATTAAGAACTTGAGTTCCAACTTAAAAGCCTTTCTTGCTAAAATTTTTGACTACTTTAAAACTTATACTAATCAGCAATTAGAGGATTTTGTTCACGAGGATCCGGCTTGATTTACAACTTGAGACGATAAAAAAAGTAAAGAAATGCCTCAAAATCAAGCAATGATTAACTACTATCAAAATTTTGCTTTGCACATAGCCGAAAAGATAGAACTTTAATAAAACGATGAGCGAGGATAAAGGACAGCCAAAATTAAATCAAATTATCTTCATAGATCTTGATTACAAAGATAAATGAGACATAATAAGAAGAGGAAGACCTTGCGTAATAACTAAAATAAAGGAAGAAGACGGTTTTTTTCTTTTCTGTCTATTAACAATTACTTCCCAAAATGAAGAAGAAAAACAATTTATCTCCCAGTATGAAATTCGTAAATTACCTGATTGCTTAAAAATTGATCCTTCTTTTGTTAGAATACATCGCCATGCGAACTTGAAAATAGCAAAAAGTAAATTAATTAAACTTCTCTGCAATAAGTGTCCACAAGGATGTTTTAAATGGCTTAAAGAGAAAAATCAAAACGAATATGATTTTATTGTAAAAAAGCATGAAGATTATCGTAATGATAAGTTAAATGTTTCAAAATTGCGACCGCCTATTGAAGTTGAAATAGATTAAAGGAAATTAGGGAAACAACAAAAAGAAGTTGAAAGAAATTCCACTAACTTTTTTAATGATGGTCATCATATTTAAACCTTTTTCTCTTCTGAGAAATTTTTTTGTCTTTAATCTTTATTATTCTCTTTGGCTTTTTTGTCCATTTCCCTAACCAATCTTCCTACTTCTTCCATTTGGTGATTAATCACAACATTATTTTAATCAATTAACTTGGTTAATTCTTTGATCTCTTTAGAAAGAAACTATTTTTTGATCTATTTGCTTTTTTTTGGAATTTATTTTTGATTTCTTATATTTCGAGCCAAACTATCTTGCACTTCTTTTGCTAACTAACTTCTTTACTTTTGCCAGTTAGCACTTTTAAGGATTTCCTTAATAAAGTCATTAGTTTTTCTTTAAAATCTTAACTAGATTATGTAGAACTACATTTTTGCTTAATTTCTCTTTAACCTTACTTTCATTCAGGTTCCTTTTCATGTTGCTACATCATTAGGTTTTACTAGCATATTGAAATGATTATTCGTTTCTTCTTCTTTAACAATTATTTTCAAAGAATAATAGCCTTTTTTCACCAGATTTTTTTTAAATTACCTACTTTTATAAAAGCACTAGCAACCTCTATCATTCCTTTCCAAAATATTCCTTCTTGTCCTGTAACAAGAAAAAAAGTGGTTTTATATTTTCCGCGAGTGCGAGAAAAATAATTATTAATTATTTCTTTTTTTGCTTCTCTTTTGTTATTGCTGCTTACATCACGAAAAAATAAATATCTTTTAAGCGAGTAACGTTGTCTGAAGGTATCACCAATGTCTTTTTTTTCTTCGAGGGTTAACATAATGAATAATTTTATTATAGAATGGATATAAAAAGTCTCTTGGGGGAAAATTGAAAAATAAAAATATTTGCTGGTATAGCGGCAATAGTTCTTTTGCTTTTGCTGATTTTGGTTTTTTTTTGAGAAGAGGAAGAAATTAAGAAAAAAAAAGCCAATCAAGGACTTTTAATTTGCCCCATCCGTGGCATTTTGCGGGTCAAAAAATACGACGCCGAAGGCAATTATAGCGAGGAATATCAAAGAATTAGGTTAATTAAGCATCTTTTACAAAAAGGTTATCCTAAAAACCAGTTTATTATTGAGTACTCTATCCCCCTCGGTCATAAAGGTCATAATACTTTACGAGTAGATTTAGCAATCAAAAAAGAAGATAATTTTTTAATAGTAGTAGAAGTAAAAAAAAAATATACTAGGGAAAACAAAAACTCGGCTATTCGGCACCAATTAGTACCTGCTATGCGAATACTAAACGCGAAATACGGAATATACTTTGACAGCACCAAACAAAGTCGATTATTAACTAGAAAGGAAAATGGAGAATTAGTGGTAAGGGAATTTCCCTAATAGAGAAAACATTTGATAATTAACCAGCCGAGAGTTTAAATAAATTTAAGGTATTAGCATAAATTATCGTTCCTACCTCATTTATTCCTCTTTTTTTAACTTGGGAAATTTTCTCTAAGGTATAAATTATGTTCCGTGGATAATTAATTTTTCCCCGTAAAGGCTCGGGACTTAAATAAGGAGCATCCGTTTCAATAACGATTTTTTCCAAGGGCACTTTTGCTAGCACTTCTCCTCATTTCTCCTTCCATTTAGCATTTTGGTAAGTAATATTGCCGGCAAAGGAAATATAAAAGCCTAAATCAATGAATTTTTGAGCTATTTCCCAATTTCCGGTAAAACAATGAAGAATGCCCTTTTTTATTCCCACTTCTTTCACTATTTCGTAAGCATCGGTAAAAGCATCCATAAATTTTTCATTTTCTTCACCTCTAATATGTAGTAAGACTGGCAAATTATGTTTTTTGGCTAACTCTAATTGTTTTCTAAATCAATATTTTTGGGTTTCCAGGAGAGTAAAAATGCGATAGTAATCTAAGCCAATTTCTCCAATCGCGATAATTTTTTTATTAGTTAATTGGTTTTCTATTCATTGTAAATTTTCTTCTTGTAAATCTTCTTTACTGTTCGGGTGTAAACCAAGGGCACCGAATAAATTAGCAAAGTCTTTTAATTGAATAAGTAATAATCGGTTAGTTGGCATGTCTTGTCCGGTATTGAGAATATATTTTACCCCCAGTTTTTCAGCATTCTGAATAATTTCCTTGGTATTCTGACTCTGTTTTTGGTATTCTTTATCGGCTAAATGGCAATGAGTATCAAAAATTAACGGTTTATTTTTTTCTTTCTCCGACCTAAGAAGTAAGCAATTATTCCTGTTACTAATATTCCTACTACTCCGCAACTAATTCATAAGCCATAATTAGGTTTAGCGGGCTGATTAATTTCTTGTCCACAAGTGAAAGATTTACCGGTTTTCTTTTCTAAATAATTCTTAATAGTTTGTAATTTTTGACCTTCTAATTCGAGCATTTCCTTTTTTCCACTATTATATTCGGCTAACAGTTTCCCGTTATCGAGAGTGAGATGGCGGATGCCATTGTTTTCCATGAATTTTCTAACCGTTTCTTCTTCATTTTGATTATTAGAATTAGCCGGATTATTATTTCCTTTTAGGATGAAGTTAGGTAATTCACAACTAAAATGTTCGTTTTTAGTAGAGGAATTTTGCGGGCAACCTTGACCTTTTTCATGAGGAAGGCAGCACATTCTCGCCCCGCAATTATCACAAATCATATCGCAACGGTTATATCAATCGGGGTCTTTTGCTTGTTCGGTCTGAATTTCCTGAGTAATTTCCGCAATAATTTGCTTAGTTTTAGCAACTTCTTTATCGCTGGTTGCGTTAGATAGTTCGTTTTCCAAATAGTTTAGTTGGTCGTTCATTCGGCGAAGAAGACTTTCTAAATACTGGCGACAGTTAAGCCCCGAATGATTTTTAGCGTTTTGTCATTCTTCTTCTAAATAAGTGGAATGATAAAATTCTTGCTCCTCCTGGGGAGTTCTCGGTCGGTCAATAGTGAAAAGATTTCAATGTCCTTCCAACGATTCCTTGGGACTATCATATTTACTCCCAGAAAGTTTATTAAACTCCTCTTTTAGGATACCAATTTTAATTTCGCGACCACTGTCGTCATTTTTCTCACCGACATAAAGATAAATATTGCCGTCTCGACCGTCCACTATTTCTATTCAATTGGCAAAATGGGAATTAGAGGATTGATAGATTTTGGTTTCATTTTCTCGCACTCATTTATAGATTATTTGTTTCAAATGCCAAGAGTTTTCGGCTACTAAATAGCGATGTAACCAGCATTGACCGGCGGCTTCTTTCACTAATTTAAAAGTAGCATGGTCTAATTTTGATTGGATAGGTCGCCCCACTCCATCTCCTCAGGGACCATCTTTTTTCATCGCTCGCAAAAAGTCCTTCTCTTGCTCTGGGAAAGAGTTGGTGTAACTGGTCTCTAACCTCAACTTCGTCATATATTCCGCTTTTGCACCAACCTTTTTTCTCCCAGCGAACAAATATTTACTTCCTTTTTATCATTACTGATTATAATTCCTCAATTAAGTTGCTTTTTGCCATTTTCTAAACCTGTTGGCTGTTCCACATATCATTCTCATAATTTTCACTCTCCGCCCGAATTTTTGTACTCCTTGGCTTTGGCAATCAATTCTTT